GCCATGTGATGATTTGACAAGGAGGCCTTTGTCAGATGTCAGTGCCTCAGGCATAAACTTCCTAGTCTCCAAAATTGTGAGAAAATAAATTTTCATTACTAAAAGTATTTGTTATGCCTACCATACAGTGCTGAACAAATATCATCTCTCCTTGCTCCTGAATTACAGCACTGTCTTGACTGAGTTAATTTCAGAGACAGGTGAACTCTCCCTTGTGAGAAATTACTTCATTTACCTGTCTCACCACATGAGACCTACCACTTTAGGTTGTCAATCTCTGCTGTAATACAAAAAATTCTAGTAACAAATATCAATAGCACATCTGAGCTCTTTGAAGAAGAGATTTAAGAGTAGATTATTTCCTCCCAGTGAGTCTTAATGAAGAACAGGGAGAGGGAAGCAAGAGTCTTCAGAGAGTTTCAGATTTGGAATCCTGACATGGATGTAAAGACATAAATAGACTCTTGACTAAATTTCCAAAATGATCTCTAATTCTTGGTATTACGCAGGCAGGTGAGCTGGTAAAGTCTCTAGATTCTCAGATGTCCATAATCTTTGGAGTTGTTACGATTTTATCAAAAATGCAAAACAATGGGCTGTGGATGTTGATACAGTGTTTCCCTAGCATGAAGGAAGCATTAAGTTCAATGGCCAGCACTGTGTAAACCCAGCATGGGGGTGTACATCTGTAATCCTTGCACTCTGGAGGCAGGAAGATCAGAAGTTCAGGGTCATCCTTGGCTACCTAGGAGTTTGCAGCCAGCCTAAGCTGGAGGCTGGAGACCTCTGGAGGGGGAGAATCTAAAATACGGATTTTTCTGCCATCTACTGGTCATTTATCTTTTTCTTTTTCTTTTTTTTTTTTTTTTTGCAAAAACCAACCACATTTAATGCAAGCCAAGAAGTTCCACCACCTTTTCTGTGCACAAATCCCACAGGCTCCTGGGCATCTTATCACTTTATACTTTCCAAGGGATGCCCCTAAAATCTCTGAGGTGGGAAGAAAAGCAAAGGGTCTCCAGGGAAACACAAGCCTGAGACAGGCTGTGAGAAACATGAGTCTCCACTGGCCTCACGCCCAGTCACTTGGCCCTCCAGCTTGTTTTTCTCATCTCAGTCACACTGAGTCATACCAGCTGGTTCCAACTAACTAGTATTCTGAGATTCAGAGTTCCTTAGATCTGAACAACCATATCTATCTACACTTCATTTCTAAAAAATAAAAATAGTTTATAACATTGAAGTTGTTGGTAGGATCTCTAACCGTGTTGCCATTCAACCAATGTATTGATCATTTGTCTCCTGTTTTATCATTTATGCACATGGATTGGCACTGACCTTTTCAAACACTAAACATTTGTACATTAATTGTACAAGCATATCTTTAGATATGTTTTCTATCTATTTTTTCCTTATTTTTTTATTGCAAGTTGGGCTTCCTCTTCATTGTCTGTCTTCTTAAGGCCCCCACGTAGATCCCTTGTTAAGAGCATTTGTTCGTATATGTGAGCATGGAAAGGCACGTTTCCTTATGAACACTCCTGTGCATCCCTCCAAATTGTGCTTGTGTTCCTGTTTCCATTCAAAGATATCTCTCCATATAGGATTTATATATGATTCATGTTTTGATATGATGTATATGAACTTAATTTTCAATATGGGGAGAATTCTCTGATCTCTGTCAACAATTCCTATAATTTCTGTCATAATCAAAGAGCATTCTCTGTATGATTTAGTTTACAAAGATGTATTAAATTTTAAGGTCCAGCATCTAGTCTACCTTATGAGTAGTTCATATGCATTTGAAAAGAATGTCTACTTTGATGTTATGAGGTGCAATGCTTTTATAAATATCAGTTAAATCAATTTGGCTATTGTTGTTTATATCTTATGCAGCCTAAAATATTTTATTTTCTAATATATATATATATACATACACATTTTCTGTTTTATGTGTATGGGTGTATTGCCTGTATTGTAGGTAAGTGCACCCATGTCTTGCAATGCCCACAGAGGTGTGAGTCTACAGGGCAGATGTGAAGTTTCTAGGTTCTTATGCTTCTTTACAATGAATTATCAAGAAACAGGGATACTTACAGAAAGAAGATAGTTTATTAAGAAGGAGAGACGGGAAGGAGGGGGGCTATGCCTCCCCTGTGGTTTGGCTCCAAAGAGGGAAGAGAGATAACGGCAGAGGTGCAGAGGTAAGGTCTCCAGCGAACTTTTTTTTTTTTTCTGTGTGTGTAAATGTATTGCCTGAATGTATGTAAGGGCTCCTGTGTCATGCAATGCCTGCAGAGGTCAAAAGAGGGCGTCAGATCCACTGGAACTGAAGACTCAGACAGTTGTTAGCTGCCATGTGGGTGCTGGGAATCAAACCCAGGCCCTCTGCAAGAGCAGCCAGTGTTCTTAACCACTGTATTATCTCTCCAGCCTTGCCCTGTGAACATTAATGGTCATTAACATAGTATCCTTCTATCCCAAGTTCATATAATGCAGGTTTTCTTTTTTTAATATTTTATTTATTGCTTTACGTGTACGAGTGTATTACCTGAATGTATGTAACTGTACCTGTGTCATGCAGTACCCATGGAGGTCAGAAGATGGGATTGGATCCCCTGGAACTGGAGTTATGGGTGGCTGTTAGCTACCACGTATTATCTCTCCAGCCTTGCCCTGTGAACATTAATGGTCATTAACATAGTATCCTTCTATCCCAAGTTCATATAATGCAGGTTTTCTTTTTTTAATATTTTATTTATTGCTTTACGTGTACGAGTGTATTACCTGAATGTATGTAAGGGCTCCTGTGTCATGCAATGCCTGCAGAGGTCAAAAGAGGGCGTCAGATCCACTGGAACTGAAGTTACAGACAGTTGTTAGCTGCCATGTGGGTGCTGGGAATCAAACCCAGGCCCTCTGCAAGAGCAGTCAGTGCTCTTAACTGCTGAGCCATCTCTCCAGCCCCACAGTGCAGGTTTTCTAAGCATGCTGTCTTGGTTGAATGAAGTTCAAATGGACTAAGATCTTCCAGTCTTTCCCTCAGTGTTACCTTTAATCTCTGGAATTTCCTCCTTTTTTGTTCTCCTGTCTCAATGTTTCTGGATGAAAACATCTTGATTTTGGAGATGGGTATGCAGCACAGTTAGGAAAATACTTGCCTAGCATGCACGAAGTCCTGGATTCCAGCACCACATTGGTTTATGCGGTGGGCAAGCCTATAAACTTGGCACTCAGGAGGCAGAGGCAGAAGGATCAGAAGTTGAAGGTCATCCTTGGCTATATAGTGAGTTTAAAGCTGAGCTTGGATACATAAGACCAGGCCTCAAAAATAAAATAAAAATAAATAAAATAAAACTCTTTGACCTTCATCATCAGGACATTACCTTGAGTTCTATTTTGGCAGTAATAGGCATCCACTTAGCAATCACTCAGAGTAAACTCTAAACACCTTTACTCACTTCAGATCACACAAGCCTAAATTGCCGCAAAGGTGGGTAAACCGAGGTCGGAGTACTCTGAGTAGGAGTTTCAGGAAGCCTCCACATTATCTCCCAGACTTAGCACGGAGAGTGACCACACAGTGGGCTAGCTGGGCCTGCACCGGGGGAGTACTTGCCTCCTGCTGCTTCAGCCCCACCCTTGCCCAGGCCAGAATTCCTCTTCTGGCACCTCAAAGTCACAAGGTCCAGGGAGGTGACAGAGCTATGGCTTAGCCTCACCGGGACAGGGTAGACGCCACTCAGCTGGCCAGGGGAAACCAGAGACCAAAAGCAAGCAATGTGGAGCGTGGTGACAGAGATGCAGGGACAGGCTCAGAGAAACACCCAGAGGCACGGAAACTGAACGATTCAGGCAGTGTACATAGAAAAATTCGAAGCAAAAGAGGCTGGGAGTCGAGAGCAGGCACAACCACTCTCATTCTACAACAGATGACTTCGATGGAGGGTGGGAGGCTGAAGCCCTCCTGTAAACCGCCCTGGAGAAAGATTGCTGAGTGGGGCTGAGGCAGGAGAATCCTGAGTTCAAGGGATACACTGCTTGACTGAAAAACAAAACTGTCAGCTTGCAGCGCCTTCTCCTGGCTGCCTGGGTCCTTAGCAGCCCTAAAGATGCTTCCTGATGTATCTTAGCAACACAACAACCCTCTGCTGCCGCCCTCGTCCATCCAGCCAATAGCGACACGCGGGGGTCGGCGCGGCAGAATCCTCAGCCAACCAGGATGCAGAGCCTCTGAAAGCCACGCCCACAAACCCCTCCCTCGTTGGCCTGGGTTCCTGATTTGCATGGCTCGGTCCACTGACCCATCCTTCCCCCTGCCCCCGTAAGCCCCCTCCCACCCCAGTGGGGTCTACGCCGTCCCGACCAGGCCCGCAGCCTGCGCTTTGCTTCCCCTTCTGCACAGGTTGCCGCGCCCCTCGGCTCCTTCCACACTCGCAGGAGGCAGGCCTACCTTTCAGAGCCCCGCCTCCTGCGCCAGCAGCCGCGTCCCATAGGTTGAGCAGACTGCGCGCGGCGTTCCGTTTGGAAGCGGCGACTGTCCGTCAAACACAAGCTCCACCCTACGACACACCCCTGCCTTTCTCGGCGAATGGTGTGAAGTTGCGCGTTCGTAGGTCCAGCATGATTATTCCCTGGGGCTCAGGCTGCCAAATCCACCAGCAAAGACAGGAATGGGCTCCAGGCTTCTGTTAGGTCCAGGGAGATGTCAGTCAAGGAGGGATGGACAGGCGCAAACACCAATCAACAGCCGAGTGGGGCGGGACAAAATGGCAAGGCTCCCGCCTATTGGTCGAGAAAGTAAACGGACCCGCCCTCCACCATTCGTGATCGGCTGGTTTCAGACCACGCCCTTCAGCCGGCAGCCCTCATCCAAGCAGCTCCTGCTCACTTCACCGCATCCCTGGCTGCGTGGGGAAGGGGTTGCTGAGTTCGCAACCAGATCCCACGGAGGACCGGGAGGGACGCGCCATCTCCACGGTGAGAGGACGCAGAGGGAGGCGGGGACGGGCCGCCGCGGAGAGCGAACGGAGCCGGAAACCGGAAGTGTCTGGGGGCCCTTCCGGAAGTGTGGCATATCCCCTGCAACACCCGGAAGTGTGATGCTGCTGCTCCTTTAAGTGTTGCTCTCTGTCCAGTTGCGATACCGGGTTGGAACAGGTGTTTATGCATCCTTGTTTCCCAAGGCCCAGCGGAGCCTCAGCCAACCGAAAGTGCTGGAGGGTGCAAGGATTTGGTCAGGTGTTGAATGTCTTGTCTTGTCGGAACCCGTAAGGGAAACCAGCCCTAGGAATGTGTCTGGGGGGGGGGCTGCTCCCTAAAAGCTTTTAAGAAGTTTTCTTTTGCTGCCCGTCACCCTCGATTCCCCTTCTCCTCAGGGATGTGCAGATGGAGGCCGCAGGAGACACTGCTCTCCCAGCCCCCGGGTGCGCAGAGGACTTGGAGAACCCGCAGTTCCCCAGTGAGGAGGCTGGAGACAATGCAGGGGTTCAGGAGAGCCCGCCGGATTCCGGCGACGGGGACCCGGAGGAAACAGGTATAACCTCCCGTCACTGGGATCCTGGGAAGGAATCCCGGGGATTCTTAGGGGAGCGAGAGAGAGGATTAATGGGAGACCAGTGGAGGAGTCTTGGGACTCAGACGTATCCTGAAGCATAGCTGGGTCAGTAGTTGGTCACGGACTCTCTGGTTCAAGAGAGAAATGAAAAAGTCAGTGAGTGTTAGCTGCTGTTCATAAGGTTGCAGTGCTCTGGTTTGGGGCAGATGCATCCTATTATGAGGGGTCCAGGGTAGCAAGATGGGCCGTCCTAATTTGTCCAGGAATAGCCCTATTTTAGCATTGGAACTTATTTATCATGAGAAAACCTCTCCATTGTAGGTAAATTAGAATGTATTGGGCATGTGCTTAGAAACTTAAAGAATTGAAAAACGTGTAACTGTTTGAGTTAAAAAGGTTCATTAGAGATTTAGGGTGTTTGGAACAAAGAATTGAGTGAAAGAAAGGCAATTAAAATCAGTGTGTGGGGGAGGGTGCTATTTAGAAGTTAGTGTTTGGGGAATCTAGGGAGCTAAATGGGCCTTACAGAGGGAGTCCCTGGTGCTGTCAGTGGACACTCAGCATTTACATCATTGAAGAACCAGTCTACAGTGAGTTGCTAGGGGATACTTTAAGGAACCAAATGTCATTGGATGCTAATGATGATCTAAGGGAGAGGAGTTGTTAAATTATTCAGAGAATAAGTAGAGGTAGGCAGGTCTTTGAAGTTGCCATTGTTAGTGGGTGTGTAAAGTTATCATTGGAAAATCACTTTGGAATTAGAGGCTGTTAGTGGGAAAGGCCAGCAGACATTTCTGGGAATAAACAGGTCTTTTAGGACTTGGGAATTCTTGACAGGTAATGCAAATTATTGAGACAACATAATTACTATTTGGGAATGTGGAATTACCAGCACACAGTTAAGGAAATATGAAGTCATCGGGTATGGGGAAAGTAGAAACGAGGTTTCAGATCAGTGATTCTCATTGGGTTAGTCAGTGGACACCAGTGGCAATGTGAGTAAGTGGGAGTCACAGGAAGCGGGCTGCCGTTGAAATGGTGCGATTGCCTTGGGAGCAGGGTAGTGGAGGTCATGAAAGCCTGTTAGTGGCAGTGAATGGTAGTCATTGGTAGAGTGGAGGGCTTGTACACTGAATAAAGTAAGGTGCTGGTCACAGCCACATGGAAGGTTGCTGAAGACTCCAGGTGTTTCTGATGTTAATATGCATTTGTTGGGGTGTTCATGTATTGATTGAAGTGAATAGGGGAGTGGTTGGTGGTCAGGGGAGTCCTGGTGACCTGGATGTTAGCTATTAATGGCAATCGGTGGGAGAAACTGAAAGTATATAGTGGTTAATCACAAGAGTGATTGGTGGCCATTGAGGGGAAGGAGACATCATGAGAATAAATAAGGGGTCAGAGAAGTTGCAGAGGAGCCACTGAAGAGGAGATAAATGATCATTTAGAGACAATTCGGTGCCTTAGAGACCTGGGAATGTAGTTGCTGAAAGGAATGATGGAGGGTCCAGTGAATGATGGAACAAGTTGGGTTATTTGACTGTTAGGGGGAGTCAGTGAAGCCTAAGTGTTAATGGACATGACTAGGAACATCCCAGCCAAGGGTCACTGAGCAGCAAGGAAGACACTGGGAGGATTTGTCAGCATACAGGGTCATTGTAGAGCCAGGCTGGTAAGGGTCCAATGGGTTGTTGAGAACATGGGGTTATTGGGAGCCCACCAACAGGTGAGCCACAAGCGGCTCCCTTTCAGGATCCAAGGCCAAGGACCAGCCACCCAGCCTCCCCTCACCCCTGCCTCAAGCTGAGGCTCCCTCAAGAACGTGTGAGCCCTGGAATACTGCAGCTTTGGACAGCAGTGTCACTCAAGGACCTGAGAGTAACTCTGAGGGCCAAGGCGGGGACCCCAGTGATGAGGACTGGCGTGGCCAAAGGAAGCACGTGTTCGTGCTGAGCGAGGCTGGCAAGCCCATCTACTCACGGTATGGTAGTGTGGAGGCGCTGTCAGCCACCATGGGTGTGATGACAGCCCTGGTGTCCTTCGTGCAGAGCGCAGGAGATGCCATCCGAGCCATCTATGCTGGTGAGTGAAGAGGAGGGAGGCAGGACGGGGGCCAGTGCCCGAGAATATGGTTGAGGGGGATGGAGATCTGTGTAACCAGCCATAAGTAGATCTGTCTGTCTCTCTACATGAGTCTCTGTCCAACCACCAGAAGTGAGTCAGTGGGGATGACTGGAGGTCCATCTCTTTGGGTTCTGAGTGATTGGCAGGAGACTCCCTGGTTGCCTGAGGACACAACCGTGTGGAGGCGGGGTGAAGGGGTGAGCTGTGTTGTTACCTGGCTTTGTCCTAGTCCTTGATTCATCACACACACACACCCAACTGCCACTCCCCCACTCCACGCTGTGTGTGTTACCTAGTTGATCACTCAACAGATGATCATATCTCTACAGATGTACAGATCCCCTCAGCTGATCCTTACTGTACTAGCATTGAGTGTGCAGGCTCAGGCTGGGTGCTGTATGAATTGGTGGGCGGTGGGCGACAGTGTCCTGTCTGACCCCTTGGGTCATTCTGGTCTACTTCTACCCTCGCCCACTCTTCCTTCCCCCAGAGGACCACAAACTGGTGTTCCTGCAGCAGGGCCCACTGCTGCTGGTGGCGGTGTCCCGGACTCCTCAGTCTGCAGCACAGCTGCGGGGTGAACTGCTCGCTGTGCACGCACAGATTGTGAGCACGTTGACACGTGCAAGTGTAGCCCGCATCTTTGCACACAAGCAGAACTATGACCTGCGTCGCCTGCTGGCCGGCTCAGAGCGCACGCTGGACCGGCTCCTGGACAGTGTGGAGCGAGACCCAGGCGCCCTGCTCCTGGGTGCTGTGCGCTGTGTGCCTCTGGCCCGGCCGCTGCGGGAATCCCTGGGCGCGCTACTGCGGCGCTGCACAGCTCCGGGCCTGGCCCTGTCTGTGCTGGCAGTTGGCGGTCGCCTGATAACGGCAGCCCAGGAAAGGAATGTGCTGGCTGAGTGCCGGCTGGATCCAGCTGATCTTCAGTTGCTGCTCGACTGGGTGGGTGCACCAGCCTTTGCCGCAGGTGAGGCATGGGCACCCGTGTGCCTGCCTCGTTTCAACCCAGATGGTTTCTTCTATGCCTATGTGGCTCGCCTGGATTCCCTGCCTGTCTGCCTGTTGCTGCTTGGCACCAACCGTGAAGCCTTCCATGCCATGGCTGCCTGCCGGCGCTTGGTTGAAGATGGGATGCACAGCCTTGGTGCCCTGCGTGCCCTTGGGGAGGCTGCCAACTTCTCCAGTGGCCCTGCAGCCAATGCCCCTGCCTATAGTGTGCAGGCTGTGGGGGCCCCTGGCCTCCGGCACTTCCTCTATAAGCCACTGGACATCCCTGACCAGCACCGCCAGTTGCCACAGTTTACCAGGTGCGCTGTGCTCTGACTTGTCTAACTGGGAGGGTCAGCATCTTACAGGTGTGAGTTAGGAGAGAGTCAGCCATGGTTTTGAAAGAGAACAGACAGTTCTCTGATGACAGAGGCTTAACGAGGGACCTAAAGGAGTGCCCCGAAGGACTCCACTACTCGGAATTTCTTGGTTTGATGGAGGCACTTTGACTTACAACCACAGGAAAACCTCAAGTCGAATGGGGGAAGCTCAGCTTCATAACTGAATTAAACCCTAGACTGAGAGAGCAGATGGGCCCATAGGGAGGGCCCTTGACTCACCTCCCTCTGCCTCCCTCTGTTGTAGCCCCGAACTGGAAGCTCCCTACAGCAGGGAGGAGGAGCGGCAGCGGCTGTCAGACCTGTACCACCGCCTGCACGCTCGCCTCCACAGCACCTCCCGGCCCCTGCGCCTCATTTACCACGTGGCTGAGAAGGAGACGCTTCTGGCCTGGGTGAGTTGGGTAGGGCCATAGTAAACTGCTTCCTCAAGCAAACTTCCTTTCCCTGTGATGTATGTCTGTCTTAGCAGCTCTCATCAGTTACAGCCGAGCTTTGTCCAGGCTATGCCTTTGTCTGCAACACTGTCCCTACCATGCATCTTTAACTACTTAGAGAGTCACCACTGCAACCCTGCGTTAATCCTACCATTTGTTTGCTTTTCTCCCATCAGCAATCAGGACAGGGTCTTTGTCTTTGAAGAGACCCAGTCAGCAAGTCACTATGCCCACCCATTCCCCAGTTTCCAGCAGTATGGTTCAAGTCCATGAGGCCCCAGTGTTCCTTGACCAAAACAGGTCTAGGATGGTACAGACATGCCTGGAATTTAACTACTTCTACCTGGGGTGTTCTTCCTGGGCTCCTGCCTTACTTGTGAAGGAGGTGGGAGGTGGGGCCAGGGAGCCCCCTGAGAAGTAGAACTTCCCCACTAGGCTCTTAATTTATTAAATACCTTAGTGCACAATGGTGTAGATCAAGCATTGTCCTAGGCTAGGATTTTTTTTTTTTTAATTTTTCTTCTCCAAGTAATTTTGGACCTAGAAGTTGTAAAAGTAGTATAAAAGTACCCTAAAGAGGCCTTTGACCCACTTTCTCCAAAGGTGAACATCTTACAAAACCTCAGTCACTTGCCAAACCAGGAAGTTAGCATTGTTTCAACACGCTCAAATCCAGAGACTCCAGGCCGCTAAGATTCCGCCAGTTCTGTTCATGTCCAGCTACTGGTCCAGAATCTCATCCAGGATCGCACAGTGGATTTGTTTACTGTGTCTCCCTGGTCTGGTTTATTCTGGAACAGCTCCCCAGTCTTTGCAGTCTTGTAGCCTTAGCACTTTCAAAGGAGGTCAACAAACTGGCGGGTGGATGCCCCTGGAGCTGGGATTTTCCCATGTGACACCATGATTAAATGGAGTTCAAGTATTCTAAGCAAGAGTCCCACAGAAGTGACCTGTGCTTTTTCTATGCACATGACAGTGTGCTCCACTTGGCGTAGGCTTTGGTGACTTAGGTGAGGTGGTGTCTGCAGCCATATTTCCACCATAAATTTAGTATTTCCATCTTTGTGGTGTTGATGTCCTCTTTGTGAGTTTTTAAAATCATACTTTTCCCCCACTGATTTTAATTTGCATTAAGTATTTTAACTTGCAACAGTTACTAGGAGTCTGCTTGATGGTGCCTTTCTATACATCTTAACTTTTTACATTTATAGCCTGGGACGCGAGTATAAGAACAGGACTTTCTCTGTAGAATTTTTTCATTTTATATAAATATGGTCTCCTGAGATTTTTCTTTAATTCAGTAGTATGTTTTTCTAGCATTGATTTTGCTATTGTAGTAGTTTCTGACTTAGCCAGTGGGAACGATGATTTAGCCAGCCTGGGTCCTTCCCTCTGACACATCTTTGTTGCCATGTGAAAACAGCTTACTTGATATTTACTGCATCAGTCCTAGATTTGGCCATTTTGCTAAGGAGCCTTTGTACTTTTTGGTAAAGAAATTTGAAAACCAAGGTATAGTGGGTCTGCGATCTTAAGCCAGGTGGTGAGGGGGAAGTCTTGCTGAAGAGATCCTTCTAAGTGGAGAGAGGAGGTCGGCTCAGCTGTTGGGCTCTAGAGGGGAAATACCCCTCGCGGAGGGAAGGACTCTGGAGATCTGTGAAGGGCTGAGGCTGGCTGTTTGAGATGCAGCAAAGAAAAGCTAATGTGGTTGGGTCAGGAAGAGCAGAGAGGATTTGCACAGAAAGGGTGCTGGTGACCTGTGGGGTCAGTTCTCAGAGTGGTGTGAGGATTGAACTGAATTCTTCTCTGTGTTATACAAGGCTATAAATGATGGAAACACAGGGGTAGGAGCTTAGAATAGCCTTGTATGTAGTAACTGCTCACTGACTATCAAGTGCTGTTGGTCTGTTCTCTCCAGTCCACGGGAAAGCAAACTGAGAAATACACAGAGCCAGCATCACTCAGTTCAAGTTACTGATGCAGCTGAGCCTCTAAGTCCAACTGAGAAGTGTTGCCCACCCTTGACACAATACTACATAGGACTTCGGGCTGGAGAGATGGCTCAGAGGCTTAAGAGCACTGACGACTCTTGCAGAGGACCTAGGTTCGATTCCCAGCACCCACATGGAAGCTACAAACCATCCTTAATTCTAGTTCCAGGGGAATCCGAAGCCCTCTTCTGACCTCTGCAGCACTGCATGACACAGGTGTACCCACATACATGCAGGCAATACACTCATACACATAAAATAAAAATAAATAGGACTTGCCTGCTGTAGCCTAGCGAACAGCACCCAGTTGCCACCAAATGCGTCAAACATGTTTCAATCGCACACAGGCTGGGTTTGGGGAGACAGGGTCGTCTCATCTGACTTTTTTTCCTTTCATTCTCCTCAGCTGACTACCAAATTTGAGCTCTATACCTGCCTCAGCCCCTTGGTGACCAAGGCAGGTGCCATCTTGGTGGTGACGAAACTCCTGCGCTGGGTGAGGAAAGAGGAGGACCGGCTCTTCATCCGTTACCCACCCAAGTACTCCACACCCCCAGCCACCTCCATGGACCAAGCCCCCCACAATGGCTTGTTCACTGGACTCTGAGTGACTGCTGGATCCACTACCTTTAGTGTTCATCTTCTGTCTCGACCCTGGAAATGTGGACAGGGTTCTGTGTGGGGTTGGCACCTGTCTCTCTGAGCAGTGGGCCAGATCTCAGGGTTTGCCTGCAAATGAGAGATGGGTGACAGCAGCCAAGAGCCTGGCCAGCTCTCCCAGCCCCCTCATGCACCTCCACCTCTGGAGAACTCAAAGGCTTCTCTCCTCTGCCTCGCCTCCTCAACTTGAATGACTCCAGGGCAGCAGCTGGCCCTTCCTAGCCTGCTTCAGAAATCCACCTGCTCACCGGAACACCACCTTCTACCAAGGCCATCTCCCAGGCTCCAGGAGCACAGCTGGGGCTGGGTTGAGATGTGTCCTCAGGGTGGCTGGGTGGGGGGGTGACCCACAGGGGTTCTAGAATTGGGAATGCAGGGCCAGCCTGTGCCTGGAACCAGCCTAAGTATTTAAAGTAAAGTGTACGCAAAGGGCCTAAAGCTGAGCCCCCAAAAGACGTTCCTCAGCCCTTCATGTACTTTGCATTTTTCTTCCTACCAAAAAACTCCACCAATTTGGGCTGTTTCTAAAGGTAAGACAGTGGCCGCCGGTGTCCACCTGTGTAACGGCACATATGGCACCTGATTTCACACGGCGGCTGGGATCCAGGAAAGATGCACTTTTGTTTTACTCTCGAGTGAGTTGGAGATAACTTCCTAGACGTTTGGTGGGGCTGTGTAAACGAAACCGCCGACCAGCCTGTGCATTATCTGTTCTAGATTGCGCAGCTTGCAGCAGCATCACCCAAAGAGGGAGAGCCCTTTAAGAGTCCCTGTGTGCAACCCACCCCAACTACCCACCACCCTAGTTCTATCCCTGTTTAGCCTTCCAGCCTCCTGGCTGAGCGGGCGCGGGGAGTCAGTCCTCCCTCAACGCCTCCCCCATAATGTACACTGTACGCATGCGTGTAGGCCCTCCCCCATGCTTTTCTTCCCAATCTTCTAAGGCACATGCGCAGACCCCCACGGAGGGAATGGCTGGGACTTTGGAGGTCTTGGAGTGGGAGGAGGCTGAGGACGCCGAAGGTGGAGAGGGCAGCAGGTCTCTCGAAACGGAAGAGGGGCTCCAGCCCGTTACAGCAGTGACGTCATGGTAGTATATATTAAAGTAAAAAAAAATTAGCCTATTACTGAAACTTCTAACTTCCACCAAGTGGAAAAACGTACGTTCTCCTCACCTAAATTAACCTGACAATTTTGTTAGCTTTTGTAGACGTTCAATTTGGTACCCATCACTAACCGGAACTAAGGAGGATGTTCTCACAAAACCTCTGAGGAGGTGATTCCCCAGTGTCCATTCAGACTGGCCCAGACCACACCTCACGTGGGTTTTCCAATCTCAGTGGCTTTCCTACACTTCTCGGATTTGCTTCGATTTTAATAGTGCTAGCTCATCCCCCATGACGGGAAAGTGAGTCCCGGCTTAGAAGCTGCTCCAAATTGCAACCCCTTAAAAAAGCTTCCCCAGATAGAATCCCCTAGAGGAGGCAAGCATTGTTTTTTAGTAGAGAAATTTTCAAAGTGTTCTGGAGTAGAGAAAATGACTGCTTCAATGGACTGTATTTCCTGCCCTTTCATCTGTCTCCAACATCCCTGCCTGTGCATTTTTTCTATCACTACACGACCAGACGGGATTGTGTCTTCCCACACCTGCCTTTGCAGACATCAAAATAACGGTCGTTTTCTTCTCTGTTACCTGCTTTGGGTTGTGAACTCAGAGAACTAGACTTTACCGCAGTTTCCCCTGCACCTAAGTCAATGCCTGTTTGGGACTTGGTTGATGCCCAGCAGTTTTTTAATGAATGAAATAATGTTAAACACAGATAAGGTTGTTTTAAATTGGAGCCACATCTTGAGGACTGGCTTTCAAAACGGTAGAAATTAAATACAAGTTAAGTCCCACTGACTAAGCATTCCGTATAGCAGAGGTATTGATTTTGAAAAGCTTAGTACCAAACTTTCAGATTCCTCAAAGTTTCAGTAACGGTTACCTCCATCAGCAGTGGAGAAATTGAAGAGCGTATCATTTTCATGTCTTATCCATTAAGTCGGGTCTAGCACTGAAGACTTGGGGTGGAGGCCTCCCAGTGAAGGCTTATTATTGTAGCAAAATGCTATTCAGTATCTGTAGCCACTGTGCTAGGTAATAACAGGGCTCATGACACACGTGTACAGACCAGGAGTGATCTTAATGGAGGCAGAGATGTAAGAAACAGTCACAGAAATGACCACGCCTCGGTATGTCCATTTTATAGGATGCCTGGGATATTTCTAAGAGGGAAGAAAAAAAAAAAAACATTAAGATAGAGGAGAGAACTGTTCCTACAAAATGAACTCCAGACATCACGTTTTTGGGATGGAGTAGTTGCAGCTGGAGGGAGGGAGGCGGCTGAGTACAGCTGCACCTGTCCCACATGAAAGTCTGAGGTAAAAACCCATTGACAACGCTGAGCAACAGACTTGGTTTGAGGGAGGGGAGCAGACGTGAAAGCCTTTGTGATTCATTGTTTTATTTATACTTTAGAATAGGAAAGTATGTCATTTTGAAATGTAAGAGAAGAAGGGAATATTGAATGGCACCTGAGGATCATTTTTAATAATGAGCAACGTTAACACCCAGATTTTAGTTGTTATTCTGCAGTTAACTTGGTAGAGTCTGTGTATAGGTAATATGCACTGAAATATTAAGGATTAAAGGATCATAATATCTTCAGCCTACGGTTGAGAAACTTCAAGATACTTGGGCAGATGCTACCACAGCCTCTTTCTATGACTTTTATGTACATTTGAAATTATTTCAAAATAAAATGTTAAAATAGGGCTCGTCCTCTACAGGTCTTTTGTAACATGAGACTTTAATTTTTGTTTTTAACAGATGTTAGATCGTTTAAAATATCATTCTTATCACTCATGCTTGGCCTTGTGACCAGCGCTAAGAAAGCTGGAGGGGAAACCACAGATGCAGCTTTTGCAGAAATAGCCCCAAAGGCTAGCTGGAGAGTATATGGGCAGGGAGCATAACATGTGGTCTGAGTAGTGGTGATATTACATGATGATCCTACTGAGTGTGATTATAGGATTGAGGTCATCCTAAAATATCCTTAAATAGACTTAACCAAGTAGGCGACGAAATGTCAAGAAGCCCAAGGCTTGCTTGAAGACACCCAACCTGATAACAGCCGAAGCAAATATGGGTAAATACAACCATCAGGTTTGGCCACAAGTGCATCGGGGTTCAACGTGGCATCCTCTCTGTCTTGTGTGCTTGAACTTCTCATAAAATACTAAGGAACCAAAACACCTTTCCTCATTCCCAGCTTTTGTTTCATTATTAAATATTAAGAATATTAATTCCAAGCTGGACGTGGTGGCGGCACATGCCTTTAATCCCAGCATTTGGGAGGCAGAGACAGGCAGATCTGAGTTCGAGGCCAGCCTAGTCTACATAGCGAGTTCCAGGCCAGCTGGGACTACAAGGGAGACTCTGTCTCAAAAAGACTATATATAATATATATAAATTCTGCAGGAGGAATGCCTATCAGCAACGATTGTATCTAGGCAGCGAGATTTAGGACCAAAGAGAGAAGGGGGAGTTTCATTTTAACGTCACATGTTTTTGTAGTACTTGAATTTTCTTTGAATGTTATTTGAGTATAAAGGTTTTTTAAAGTGATACACAAAATATATTTTTCTAAAAGTTTCAAACTGGGGCTGGCAAAATGGTGTAGCAGTTAAGAGCACTGGCTGCTTTTGCAGAGGACCTGGGTTCAGTACCCAGCACCAACCTGTTGGCTAACAACCATCCATAACTCCAGTTCCAGGAAAATCGTACGCTCCCTTCTGTCCTCCTTGGGCATTGCACAACACAGGTATGCTTGCATGCATGCAGGCAATATACTCATACACATAAAATAAAAATAAATAAAAGTTACAAATATAGGCACTAAACTGCCCAGGTTAGTGGTTATTTCTGGGAAGGAGAAGGGGATATTGGTGAAATGAGACTGACTCTTCATGCCGAGTTCCTCCATATTTAAGTCATTTAAAAAGTAAAGTGCAGACGTAAACTAATATATACTAGTTTACTGAAGAGTTCAGCAAATCACAGGCTTTTAAGAAAAGTGAATATCCACCAAACATTTCAACAAGACAAGCTGAGGTTAAAAATCCTGACCTACAAGATGGTTTTTAATGACCATAAAGAACTTCATCCTACCAGTGTGTTACAATTAACCTAAGGTATCTTCTTACATATTTTAAGATTGCAAACTTAACAAAATAAAGGTCATGCCCATCCTCAACAATTTCTTTAGGGTACATTTTTAGGATGAAATTTCTGATCCAGAGGAGATGGGAATATTTTGGTATTAACAGAAATTTTAAATGAAGCACTGTTTTTTTGCCAGTCAGATTTAATAGTAAACATAGCCTTTGATGTAGCAGGTAGCCTCTAGGTAGTATTTACATGTATCCAGCAGGCACACTCCAGTGCAACCCAAAAAATGTACAGGACTGGTATACTAAGGAAAAGTGTGTCCCTCAGGCTGATGGTGTAGCTCAGTTCATAGAATCCTGGCCAAGCATGTGTGAGACTCTTGAGTTTGATTTCCAACACCACAAAAACAAATTAGTTAATTAAAATTGTGACCCTCCCAAGATTTCATCAACCAAAATCTCAATATACGATGCACATCGTACATATTTATTGTCACTGAATGAAGAAAGGAATGCAAAAGGAAGTGACTTGATTTGAAACTAGGATGTTCCAGTCTTATTTCTGCGAAAGGCTTTACTTGGCTTACGGTTCCACAGTCCATCATCTCAGGGAAGTAAAGGCAGGGACTCACACAGCTACACATCTCATCCACAGTCAGGAGCAGAGAGACGAAGCCAGGTTTGCTGCCGACTCTATGCTCTCAGCTTGCTTTTAGCTCTAATGCCATCTAGGACCCATCATGTGATGCCATGTGATGACACACAGGGAAGACCTAGTGTGTGGTACTTTGTCACAGTAGCTGTAAAAAGAAATACAGCTAGATGACCAACATGACATAATTCTTAACAGTGAGAGAAGGGAAACTGGGTACATCAGTAGGAGACTATTAAATTATAGTATATGTGCAGTGGAAAACCATGTAGTTACCAAAGAGAATAAACTAATCACCAGTACATCTTGTCAAAACAGAACATGTGAAACATTGTGTGTTAACAGGGTCATCTGCATAAAAAATAGGACACACACATGTATATAGATTAAATAGCTCATATCGCTGAGTGACTTCTAAGGAAGAAAACAGGAACTTGGGGTCTGACACTGAAGGACTTTCAATACTATTATGGATACGCAGTTCTGTGCTCAGCTGCTGGTTACAGTATGTGTTTATTCTGCCCAATTTTCCCTAGGAATGGGTCACTGAGATTGTGTTTTTATCATTGATTTCAAGAATTTAGGATTTTTCCTTGTGGGTGTTTTCTTGTTATTTGAAATTTTAAAAGTAATATGGGCTCATGTTAAAATTATATATATATATGGAAAATGAATTTGAATCAGGAGGCAAATAAGGTCTGTTTATTGCAGTTGATTGAGAGAGGCTGCTGCAAGTCTTAATATAGATAGGGTTCTATCTATCTATCTAATTTGTATGTGTGTGTGACAGAGAGACACAGACAGACAGACAGACAGCGGTAGGTAGAGGCACAGAGAGACAGACAGAGACAGAAATAGCTTTGACTAGTTTTCATGATACTGAACACATTTGAGATGGTGTCTTTACCATGTTCTCCTGCCTTGTGCATCTCTTCTGGACTAGTATTAACATAAAAATTTGGTGTGATTCTAGTGTTTAGGGTGGGTCTTCTGGGGGAGTAAACTTATATAAATTGTTTGATCTTCCATCAGAAGACTCCTGACAACAGCCACTAAACTGGGGAGTTGGCTCTGTGTGTAAAGTGCTCACTGCACCAGCGTTCAGGAGAACCTCAGTTCGGATCTCTAGAACCTACATAAAATGCCAAGTGTAGTAGCAAACGTCTGTAGATCCAGCACTAGGGGGTAGGGGCTGGAGAGAGGTGGGTTCCTGGGTCTCCCTGGTCATCCAGCCTGTCTGACACGTTGAGCCCCAGGTTCAGTGAGAGATCATGTCTCAAAACAATACTGTGGAAAGCAGGGGAGGACACTTGAAATTGACTTCTGACCTCCACATGTGCCCACATGGGCTAGTGTACACACACACACATGGGGTGGGGGTGGGGAGGGAGAGAGAGAGAGAGAGAGAGAGAGAGAGAGAGAGACAAAGATAGAGCGAGAGACTGAAACATTAGCAGCATGCATAGCCATTATCTAGATCCATCAGTTCATTAAGATTTATAAATTATGGTTTATGACTATTTTAATGAAATTTGTCTTCCCTATTGCATTGGTCAGAACATCATAATGACCTTGAACAGCAGCAGTCACAAGACTACATCCTCTCCTCTCACCCCATTTCACTAAGGGGAGTTCTGGGTTATCTTTTGTCCTCTTGTGGAAAAGCTGATTTATTCAGTATATACCATGATCCTCAGAAAAAGAGAATGGGATCCTCCAGGGGCCCTGCTCTGGCTGGAAACCCGACCCTCAGCTCAATGATGCCCCCAGTCAAGGAGTGTCTGCAGAGTCCTCTGAAGCATCCTTCCCACCTTCCTACCTGCATCTGCATCTTTGCTGTGTTCACCTTCCCTCCCACTGGGTCCTGTAGTTCTGGATTTCTTCTTTACAGGGCAGGCCATGTCCCTGAAGAAAACGGAAGACTTGCTAGAGACAGTGAAAAAGCTGCAGGAAGGTCAGGTGTCCTGTGTCACATTTTGAGTCAGACAAACATGTTGAAACCCAGAGCCCCTCAACTCACACCCTCAGGAAATCCACCCATTGCGCTTGCTCTACTCGATTTTTTTCTTTGAACCAAAAATGTAGTCCCACAGTTAAAAATTCAAAATCTCTTCTAAAAGGATGGAAAAAGCTATTCCACTTACATACATAGGTATGTATACATACACATACATCATTCATTCATCCATCCATCATTCCTTCCATCCATTCATTTTCCTGATTGGTAGGCAAGCAGCAGGCAGTATTTTTTAAAATTTATTTATTTATTTATTTATTTATTTATTTATTTATTTATTTATATTGATGCTTCAGCTTGAACTCAGGGCCTTTTGCATGCCAGGTAAGCACTGATTTACTGAGTCACACCCCCCGCATCAAGTGTCTTCCAGAGATTATTTTCACAAACTACATTCCCGAGTAATAGCCCATGTTCTCTTTTCATCTACAAATAACAAACGATAATACAGAATGTCTTACACTTTGCTTTTCTTGTTGAGAGGGACCTGGAATCCAGCTTGCATCCAGCACCCCTGTCAGGGCTGGAGCAAGTGCTGGGTTTGCAGTTAGATACCAGGGCTATTCTGAGCATTAGCTGTTATGGTCCATTGGTCTGCACCAAACAAAATGGAACCTTCCCTTCTCCCACTTTGGCTGTTCACCGTTCTTTGGGGCTGTTGCCTGGACTAAAACCATGTAAACAAATTGTAGGACTAGAAATCTATAATGGCCTACCCTGACCATCTCCCACAACACCTTAACCCCCAAGGACTTTTACCAGTTGTGATCAGCACCATGGAGCACAGCCATTCTTCTGGGATTCCCTGGGCCAGCAGCTGGTTATCCGGAAAATCCCAGGGCTGAGCTTATGAACTCCAGACTCTTAGGGGTTGGCAGTTAACCCCAGCATTGGTAAAGTAGCTTTATATCCCAGTGGTCTGTAGCTTACCTTCAG